CCATCGATCATCTTCGTCGCAGGCAGTTTATTCTGACAAGAGATTCGAATATGCCCTCGGATGCGCTCCTCGTTAGATAAACTTCCAGAGGGCCAAGGCCCTCTGCCGTCGTAGAAGCGATCGGGGTATTCGAGCGACTACGGCTCGGATTTTGGGGTTTCACCCCGTGCGCTTGATCACGAGTCTTTAGAAGAGCTCGCCCGATCTCCCACGATTCCGCGAGACCGGGCGGGGAAGAGAAACAGGATTTTGTTTTATCGAAAATTAGCTTTTCTCCCACAGGGAAAGCACGGCGATCGAGTTCTCCCCTGGTCTAGCTTGTCTGGCCGTCGACAGTGGGTACGAACTGATGGTGTCCGATCTGAGTGGCTTGAAGTTAATCAGGGTGCTGCCCCAGGTTTTATTGTCGTCCCTTCATAGTAAATCTAAATCTCGTCCTCTTCCCTCGTCGCAAAAGAAAGAGCTGCAGAGTCGTCACCTTCGTCACCTTCACCTACAACGCTCGAGTTTCGCATCGAATCTACCTGGCGCGACTCTGACCGCGTGACTCTGATGTGAATTTTTTCTTCGAATCCTCTGGCCTCAGGGTGGATGCAAACAAAACCTCCAGCTGCCGGAGTACTCTCTCGGAGTGGTCTGTATGTCGAGGGCCTTCCCTCCTCAGCGTTGTAACTCTTCGCGACCAATTTCTCATCGTACATCTGCCGAGAGCCTGTCTCGATTCTACTGTAGTCTATCGTGAGAGTATCTGTCAGGATCCATTCATGCACTTACGTACTTTCATTTTATCTGCGAGTATTTTTCCATCAGGGCTCCAGCAGCTCATTCGCAGCATCATCGATATATCAGACCAAGAAGGGAAAGAGTCATGCGAGTCCGTTATCCTTGCTCGATGCTGAAGGAAAGGAACTCGATTCTTCACGCTTCATACTCTTGGGAGAAGACCTGTGGAAAAGAACAGATACGGTCCCAGGGGGAGGCAGAAACAGGAGATGTCAAAATATTTGTCCCTCCTGCCAAACAGCTCGCTCCAAGCGCGTGATCACATGAGGTTGCGCAAGGTCTGCCTGTCGAGATCAGCGAAACTGGATTGCATAAGCCGAGGTGTCCCAGTCAACTCCCACTAACTACTGATAGCAGCTCACTCCCTTCCCTTATCAGCTTCCCAGGATTCCAAGGAAAAAGACGAGATTCCACCGCGACAAGGGAAATTCCCCGAATCTCGAGAGCCAGCTTTGACAGAGAATTATCGAGTTTTCGAAAAAAAATCATTTCCTGACCCAGCTTCTTTCCATGGTAAGGTAGAGCTAGGCGGGATGGAGTAATTTGTTCTGATATCCCCTCGCTATTCGGGAGAGGAGCTCCGTTCTCCGGTGGAAGCAACAGAGGGTTTCTGCTGGCTAAGATCAGTGGTTATGGAGTGTAAAAGGGATTCCCTTGTAAGAGACGCCTGGTCTATATCAGACGACACGGTTGGAGAGTCGGTTGTATCCCTTTCCCAGGAGAGCAATAGCACTCCATCTTGAGTCTCTGGAGTTGCAATTATACTCGCTTGCTTCGGGTGCCGTCGCTTCGAGAGAAACCCAGAGAGCTTCCGAGTTTTCCTCGAGGGAACGTCTAAGGGCTCCGCCATTGACGAATCATGCAGGCAAAAGGCGGAAATCCGAATATCCACGTATCGGATCTTCAATTTGATGCTAATCTGGACGTTGTGCGCGATCAAGGATCTCCTCTGTCGTCGTTCTGGACGCCTAATTGCTCACCCTCGGTCCGCGACAGAGGACAGCTTCACTTGCCAAAAACGGCGAATGTCGCAGTTTTCCCTACTGATGAATACAATCGGTGCCATTGCTTCCGAAAAGATCCCCGCCGCCGACTCACTCGGATCCGGCGCCGACGTAGCGCCATGCTCCCGGAGCTTATTTTAAGTTCTCCATACGTTCCTTAGGATCGACCAGCAGTCGATAGCATCTGCCACCGGGGCGAGCTCCTTCAGCTTCCTAGGAGGCGTCTCAAAACATGGAATTCAAGAGCTCTTCGGGGACTTGGGGAATTGACAAAAATGACCGTCTGATAAAACAGCCGCCGGGCTGTCCGGCGGGAGATTCGCGCTTTTTCCCTGCAAGCCACCCGAGTCGCCCCTCAAGGTGCCGGGACGTCCCCGGCAGATTCCGAGGGAACTCTTGACTCGCCTGCCTTTCTTCAAGAATGGCAAGAAAAACGCTGCGACCAGTTGGACCTTCGTAGACCGGGGGGTGTCTCCGCTGAAATTTCGCCTAATAGCGGAGCTCAAAAAAAGACCAGCGGTCCCTTCCCTGTCGGATATCTTTCGCGCCCTCGGGAATGCTAGAGGTCGTTTTGTGCCCGGTTATTCATGCTAGCTCCCGACGGGAATAGAAATTCCCTCGCGCTCATATTCAAATGGGTCAGGAGGGAGCGCTTGACGGAATTCCGGGCTTCAGACCCTGTCGTGGATCCTGAGAGAGGCTCGGTTTCAGGACGGTCACCTGTGTGAAGTTTCCATCTCCGTGGTGGACCTCGACAGCTTTGAGAGGGGGAAGAAGTACCGCGAACGAGCCGTTCTCCTTCCGTTCTACGGGCCGTTTGCAGATGCTTCATCGCTGGTGAATAATTGCCCTTTTCCAGATATGTTTCCCCTCTCCGGAGAATCCCCTTCCGGAGTGTATATCCTTAGTTCATCCAAGAAGCCGGGAGGCGCTGTCACTCATCCAAAGTTGACTCTTCCGCCATATCGTCGACCCTCTGATCAGCTTCCAATGCACCTCCTGACGAAGTATTCACAGGTACGACCTTTTGGCTTATCTAATCGGAAAATACCTCGGCTCTCGGAGGGAGGAGAATCCTTCGTTCACGATTCCACGGAAACGTCTCATGCGGTTGTGAGAACGTCACAACGGGTCGAGCGCAGATTCGCAGCAGCGATTAATTTCCGGTGGACTGGGGCTCAGCATTCAGCATAGTTTTCAGTGCATCTTGTTCATATAGGGAAGCCCGGCGAACGAGGAAGGCCTTGGAGCGGGAATCCCCGTTGCTTTGCATGAAAACTTCACTCACGGTCTCTGAGTGGAGTGGCTCAGGCCGAGCTTTCGGGTAAAGCCGCTCGAGAAGAGTGAGGTGCGGCGTAGAAACGAGGCGTCATGAATCATTCCGACCCACGGAAACCTGCGTCTGGAATCTCCGTCCAGCATCGGTGCTCCCTCTCGCCTGCCCTGCTCTCGACTGCCCATGACAGCATGTCAAAACCTTCTCTCGCGGTATCCTGTGCCCTCAGTTGTGAGGCATCATCAACCTCGTGTCTGTCGGTGGATTCCCATCGAGAGACTCACATAGCGACATCGTGACCTTCTCACTGGATATGCGCTGACTTTATGCATCGCAGTTCCTCGATATTCATCCCGAGTACCGAAGAGTCCGCAGAAGCGATTCTCCCGCACGTGGAGCTAGATCCTGCGGAGGTAACTTCGAACTCAGTGAAAGCTCCGGCGTAAGTCGGATCCAGAGAAAAACATATCGGAGCTTCTGATTCTGGGGACTCTCTTCCCACAAGCTGAATCTCGTGAGATAAGAGATGATCGTCTGTGCATCAGCAAACCGCGCAGCGGAGCAGATAGAGGAATTCGGGCGGAAGGTCCCCGTAAGTGAATCCAGCAGTGTTCCCCCGAAAGCCCTATTTCAGCGCCGAGGACCTCATCGACTCGCGTTGCAATCTGAATTACTAGAGAAGATGTCTTAAAGGGAGTTTCTCGGAGGAAAGGAATGTGGGAGAGGAAGGTCGAGCCTAGGAGTTCGGATGAGAAAGCCGTCCACGGCGCTGGGACCCAGGAATATCCGGATGGGAGGCCATTGTCGATACACGACCAAGTGAACTTTGTTGACGCCGGATGATGACGATGATGATGCAGTTCGAACGAGATTGATTCCTCCGACGGGTGGGGTCTCAGGGATGAGGTCAGATCTCCCCACCGTCCGAATGCGTCCAACCCGTCGACGACCATGGGTCGACCAAGAAAGCATCGACTGATGATGGGAGGAACTTCATGTTTCCAATTCTTTTGTTTGTCATCCTGATGCGGATTCGGAGCTAGAAGACTGAGTTCTGATGAATCGACCCGCTGTTCATCTCGACCGAACTCCATACGTGCGTCCTCAATTGGAGGCAACTGAACGGGAGGTATACCAGAGGAGCGGTGAGGCTCTCCGTTCAGAGCGCTTAACTCAATTCGTCGCATCATCGAATCCAGGCTCAGTCAGCCCAAGTGACAAGCCCGAAAATGAGGGAGGATTCATAACCTTGATAACAATCCTAGGCGTCGAGGAAGCGATGCAAAAGACGAAAACCATGGAGAGATATCTCTTGAATCGCTGAAAGTCAATCAGGGCGAGGGGTGTGGGGCGGTCGGATCGCATCAAGGGAGCGCTTCCCACGCAAATTCTTTTGAGCTGTAGTCATCGTAAACTTAGGACGAATCGGATATGGTGCCGCAAGCATTCATACACCAAGGGCGAACCAGACGGTTCGGAACTTCTGAAGGGACATTGTTCCTCTCATGACACTAAACAAGTGAAGCTTGTGATTGGTCGGGGGGGGGGGGGGCGGTCCAATGCTTTCGTGGGGTCCCGGCGAGCGCGAGCAGACTATTTTCCGAATGGTGCTCCCTGGATGAGTTTTGCGGGTAGCAATCGGATCTCGGAACCGTCCTCGCCGGGACCGACTCCGAGTCTCAATCAAGAACCATCATTATCCTATAGAGAGCGACACCATGCTCACTTACAGCGGGAAGTCATTCAGTGCTGGAGATTCCTCTTCAGACTAAAGTCCAAGTTCAGTGAAATGGAATCTTAATCATCAGGCTCTGAATGCATCGATGGTATGTGAGTCACGGAAAATAATATGGGAGGAGTCCTCGGCCACTCGGATCGACTAATATGATTATTTGTTCGTCTTGGCGAAGCTCATGGAGAACGCCGGAGATGGCTTGCGAAATTTATTCAATCGAGCAGAACAATCTTCGTGATGCTGTATGTCATCGATAAGTTCTGGAGTCGGAATTGAGTCGTGTGATGAGGTTATCCCTTAGTTTCCTCGCTGCTGTGTGAAGCCGGGTTAGAGTATTCTCTGCTGTATCTTCGGGCGCTTCTTGCGAGCGTCCATGGTCTCGGTGATTCTAGAACTACGCAGGACCTTCTACTTCCTCCGGCCGAATCGCATGTGACCGTAGTCGTCACCTAGACCAGCCCGACCGAATCTGCGGGGAACAGGTGGGAAAATCATGAGAAATCAATGCGAGCCCCCATTCCCAAGAATCCATTGATCGTGTGGCTAGCTGGCGCATGATGAGCCGACCGGCTCCTCAAAATATAGGAGCACCTACCTGAGATGACCATAATCTTCATCTCGATTGCGTTTCTCTTGACCGTTCTGCTCGGCTTCCTCCATCTCGGCTACCGCCGGATATATCTGTTTCCACCAAGTTTTGAAGTCGAGTCGCGGCCTTTTCACGAGATTCGCACTTTCCGAAGGCGAAGCTGCAAAGGCGAGGAGGACTACGATTGCCAACAACACCAGGGACGACAGGTTCAAATTCATTCTAAGGCTGGAAAACCATCACAATTAGCAAAATATCCGAATCCGCCACCTGAGTTCGAAAGAATGAGACTAGGCGCCGGACAAGCGTCGAGGAAGCATAAATCGAATGCTCATCTACCGCGACTCACCTTGCTGTGTGTCGTCCTGGATGGAGTGAACGGAACCGTGGGGCCGACCAGCTCTTATATACCCCTCACTCAAACGACGAGGTGGTCTTGTCGACCGTCGCGGTGTGTTTACAGGACTGAGATGATGTCGGAGTTTTAATCTTGTTGGACCCCTTTGAAGGCTCATACTTTTGAATCGGGGCACGTAGATTGGAATACGCCGAAAGCAGCCTCGCTTCTTCGCGCACGCTCCTCAAAGGGAAATGTATCAGGCCTCATGTCGCCGAGCCGGCCTACCGGATTCAATTCATGATAACCCTATCAGGAATGGTCGTCACGCATCAGGACCACGCATGCGATGCCTCGGAGGTATCGTGACGTAAGCACCTACAGTGAACTTCAACTTCGGCAGCATCGGAAAATACCGGGGACAAGTTTCTGAGACACCGGCGAAAAGAAATGACGTGGGGCCGGGGCAACGAGCCTATTGTTCCTATTCGCTTATCGCACCCCTTAGGATAGAGTCATGACCACGCTGAAAGTTCCCTTAGAGGAAACAACATTCGACATAGAGGACAGACACTGTGTCGTGCTTCCAAGAAGAGTACCAGTCCCATGATTCCCAGCATGGAACGTCGTCTTTGATGGATGACTGAGTATTCATAAATGAATCCAGAACATCATCAGCGGAGAACGCATCGGAAGAGCGTCGAACGATGGGGGAGGGGGGTCACAATTAGCGAGTTCCAATGCCCCGGTCAACTGGCCCGATCGATTCACCACATCTAGCATCGACATCCCATTACTCCAGAGGATATTCAGAACCTTATTCCTACTCTTTGGGCCAAACGCACATCATGAATGTCCGAGAATTCCGCCACATGTGGTCTGAGCCGTCCGATTGCCCGGAATTCAACGAGGGGAGCTGTTGGTCGACCACTTCCAGCCTATATTTCGAAGTATTCCCAGCTTGTAGCATCGACCACTATTATTCCAATATCGTCGATACTCAGTTTGAGCTCCGCCTGTGTACCTAAGATCCCCAGTCATGCACGTCGGCAGGTGGTACCGATTCAAGCCGCGGCTCCAATGAGGCTGAGGATTCCTCGAACTCGCCTCGGATTCGTGCGGAAAATTGAACCGGTCGGGCAGAGAGGAAAGTCTCTTGTGCGAAATTTCGGTAAAGGTAGAGCTCCGCGAAACTCAAGGTGACGTTGCGGCTCGCTTAAACGTAAAAGAATCAAGTGATCGGAATTTCGTTGGGTGCATCCATGGAACCCAAACATTGAGTGTGCCGTCCCATTGTCGGTGAGGTTGACCTGTGAGGTAGAAAGTCTCACGACAGACACTCTGAGTCGCTTCTGAATCTTGGCCAGAACCTCAGCCAGCGTCATGCCAATCGACCGAACGCGTACGCTCTGGAGCCCCCTGCTCGCCGTTTCTCTTAATACATACTAGATAGACGGAGTGAGTATTATTGCCTCCGTTGCGCGCTGACATCCCGAAGCGGAACGACAGACGGCACCTAATTCGCTCAATAGCTTTTCCGCTTGGCCGAGGAGCGGGATATTTCTGCCGTCACCTTTTCTCCACCGACTCCGAGCTCGAGCTGACAGCTCGCTCCAACCAGTCACACTCGGGTGTCGAACTGTCGAGCAGCATTCTCTCCTAATAAGTCACCGCCGGTGGACATTCGACGGAGTATATCCGGAACCGCAAGGGGCTTCTTTGCCTCGCCCTGGTTGCGAAAATGATGCTCGGACAAAGGGTGGAAGACGCGGAGGGGAGTCGGATGCTTCGCCTTTCAGAAATCGACAAGATCGGTGAGTGAAGCTGTCAGACCGGTGGAACGATTCGACCGATTCGGACGATTCGGACGGTCGGGAATCTGCCTCAGCATTCTCAGTCGAAGCACCGGATGCGCAATTTTCGGCGCGTGCACAACGCGAACAGTCCCCCACTGACTCTTGAACCAAGTTGAGCTTCTCATGGAACCTTCCTCCACGGCGCGGCGCCCTATCAGCTGACCTCGAGCTTCACGGAGCCGGATGCTCCCTCCCACCGGAGACTCCTGCTGGAAACTCCCAGCGATGATCCCCAGTTGCGACTCCTCCCGGATTCCAGCCAGACCTTCCTGATGAAGATTCGTCCTGATGCTCGACGCCTCCTTGCCCGTCCTCAAGTGATGCGAGTTTGATGGCGAACCGAATTTGCTCCCAGGGAGCTACCAACTCGATGCAATCTTCCATGGGGACCGAGGCGATTTGATTCAGCGCCGCAGCATGATTTGGATCCGCTCACTTTGCGGTGCAAGACGCTTCACAGGTGTGTTCATGCCCATGCTGCGATCGGAATGCCGTGGGTTCTGGGATCGAATGATGCTGCGACTCCGTCTCGGCCGCTTTCAAGTCCCGGAGCTGACTTTCTTCTGAGCTGTCCATGATTCGCTCCGCGGGACTTCCGAGTAAACTTTTGTCCTCTTTGCATTCCAGACGGAATCGGCAGAGGAAGCACCGCCCCGACGGAAAATGGGGATTCCGGGCACAATTCGTCGGGTGGCCTCCCATTCTGAGATTGAGCCCTTGTCCGGTATTCACGATACCCGAACCCCGTGACCACTCTTGAAGTTCCCCAGCCCACTCGGATTTGCTCTAGAATTCGGGTTCCTGCCCAGCTCCCGATTCAGCTCGAGAGCTTCTTGGCAAATGAGTTGACCCGAGAGGGGGAGTTTTAGACTCCGTGCCTACGAAAACCACCGTGCAGCACCGCCTCGAGAACTTCATCCTTGGCGGTCTTCATTGCCTTCGCGCTCGATGATGCTTCTCGCGCTCGGTTGCAGCCTCACGGGATTCCTTGATATTTCTGTTCACCTCACTCAGTTACGGTGCTCCCGTCGACACCGAATCTCTCGACCAGAGATGCTTGAGCTGCCCCGCCCTCGAACGATCGGAGGAGATATCTCTTCTTCGCTAGAGTGTCAAAACTTTTCTGGTTCTTCTTTCCGACATGCTCACTTCCCGATCTCACGGAGTCGCGGCGCTCAGCGGTGAACTCCAAGCGGAGGGCTACGACTCGCAGAAACACTCGGCTCCAGGATTTCACGGGCAGCGACGCTCAGCTCGGTAGGTTCTTGCGTACTGCCCGTAGCCGTCGCGCCACTCGACTCATGGGTGGCCTCGTCGGCACGATGCAACAGGGAGAGCGACAGATGGGTGATGTAATTGAGCTCGGGAGTGTTTCCATGGAATGAGGATCTGTTGGATGATATAATCGATTCGGGAAGGTCTTAATGACATGAGGAGAACAGGATGATATCGGAGTCTGATATCAAGGCTTCCCGACACGACTTGGACCATGTATGTAATCGAATCTTAACGGTGGCTGCTCCGATCAAGGAATCGAAGTATACCCCCGCTCGAATTTGCGTCCGCTCGAATACGTTTACATTCAATCGTGACTTCCTCGCCGGAGCCGTGGCCACTCCCGAATCTCCGTCGGACGCTAGACGCTTCGGTCGTTCCGCGAGAACTCCCTCGTCCCCGATGAGATCGAGACAAGCACCAGCCGCGCTCTGTCAGACGACCGCCCGTATTGACTCGCTATGCGTTCATTCGTAGTCGCTTTCGTATTGGCGCTCTCTTCAGCACTCTGTCGAAGAAGTACCCCGAGACGACGACGACGACGAGATACGACCGTTCACAGCGCTTCAGCTGAAAGTGTCTGTCAAATGTTTTCCGCCTGAATTGCTAAAGTCGACCGAGAAGACTTGAAAGTTTCGAAAATGGATTTCTCCCGCCGACGTAACAAGTCGAAGATGGAGGGGCCATCCTCGTGAGTAACGAGAAATTCGAATGCCTAGAGTAACTCACACAGATACACAGTTGCGAGAGTAGAATCGTAGATCGATCCGGTCTAAAATCTCTTTTCGGTATTCAGAACCCTCATCGATGTCTCGGCGCGAGATGTCAACATCACAGTATTTTGTGACAGCGGTGAGAAGACCGACCGGATAAAAGAAGCTTTCGAGGCATTCCAAGACGTCGGGGAGACGATGTGGATGAGTTTGGAGGAAATTAAAGAATTCTCTCGACCTGCAAACTATGTCTGTGATCCCTTCGAAGGTGAATACGCTGAAACAAAAATAATAAAGACGTCGCTCGACGGATGAACGCGAGGGAGAAGTAATGATTCCAGAGCGACGTTCCTCATTCGATCCCTCGATTTCAGGAGAGCTTTTCGAACACCTGCGGAGCCGTCAACTGCCAGTGTACGGTCCCCTGGTCATACTCCGCTGCCTCCGTGACAAAAGACCCTTACCATTAGCGCCGCGACCTGTGTTCTCTCAGGCGATGAAAGACGTTGTTGTGACGTTCTCTTCGGTGGCACCAGAGGGGAGACTGAGGCTCGCGCAGAGGGTCGAGTTCATGGGTGGTCGAGTCGAAGCTCCTCTGAACAACACGGTGACCCACGTTGTCTGCGGTGAGTCCTCATGGAGCATCCACGTTATCTCACGACCAGGACAGTTGTTGTCTCCTCATAGAAGTTCGGCCTGTCTAGGATTCAACGATTTTTCATCTTCCAGATGAGGTGGGCTCGAAGAAATATATAGTTGGCTCCTTGAGAGGACTCGCTCTCCAAACAACAGCTTGGATCGATGCTGTTTGGGATAGAGTTCAACACGAACTGAAACATGCGATCTCCGTTGCGGATGAATACAAGACACAGATCTTCGCCAACTTAGCCATCACATCGTCGGGACTCGACGAGGTCGAAAAGGAGAGAATGAAGACGCTGGTGTCCCAGAATGGCGGAACGTACACTGGGAAACTCACGAAGGCGAACACGCATCTCGTAGGTTGAAAGTTCATGCCGATGTCGAGCCTGGATGTTTCCTCCTTCTCGAATCCAGTGAAGAAGCCGGCAGGAAACTCTACCATTTATCCACATTTTCAGATCATCAAAGAACCGACCGGAGCGAAGTACCGAGCTGCGGTGTCGTGGCAATTGCACGTTGTGACTCCGGATTGGGTGAATGATTCGTTGGAGAAAGGGTTCATGATCGATCCGACTCAGTACTTATTATCAGATTCCGGAGCGGCGTCTTCCAGCACTCCAATGAATTGCAGTATTTCGTCTGTTGCTTCAACCGTTGCGGGCTCGAGGTTCGTCGTTCGCGAAATTCCCATTTATTCTTTCAACTCTTAGAGGGATCCAGGAATTATGCATCTCCTCTCAATCGATTTTCTGATTCCCGAGTGTTCTAACAGGTCGGTTCTATCCGAAAGAACGAATCACGTGGACCCCATGTATAGCGAGGTTCTCAAGCTCACAAAAGAAGATATGGCGTCAGCGGCACAATTCCTCGACGGTTGTGCTGTCCATGTGTATGGCATCAGGGAGAAGGTTTTCCTCGAGCGTCTCGAACAAATCATCAACCAAGCCGGGGGACATCGGGAGGACACATTCAACGATGGCGTGACACATGTGATCACTTTGTGAGTCACTTTCCGTCGATTCGTCGGCTTCATATCTTGAGATTATTACCAGATTTCATCCGACCGAGATCTCGTCCACCTAATTCGGAGTCCCTCTCCGCTATGAATCTCTCAGACCATCCGCTTCCGGTTTGCTCGAGCTACAGAAGACGATCGAGAACTCGTTCGCAAGCCCGGCCGTCGTCCTGCCGAGTTGGCTGGCCGCCTGCGTCCGCCGGAAAACGCTCGTCCCCGCGGGACAATACGCCTGTCCGGGCTTCGACCCCCCACCCGAAGAGGAGCTCACTTGTGTCACCAGTTTCGCCAGCGTCGGATCCGTGAAAGAACAGAAGGGATGCTTGATTGATAAGAATTTCTGCCTCACGGAAGGTGAAGATCGACTCCGGCTGGTTTTATATTCAAATGAATAATGTCACGCTGTCTGGCGTAATGAGAATAAGTTCCCCCGTGACGATCGTCCTGGGTCTGGCGATTTCACCGATTCGGAACGCTTATGATTCATTGTCGACAATATCCCGATGAGAAGTTCCATATAGATCAAGTCCACATTCATTTGTTTCAGAGCTTCGAAAAATGTACCTGAATGTCGTCCACGATCTACCCGCTCTGCGGGAAGGCATTGAAGCCCTCGGTGGTCGTCTGGTCGACTCCGCCGACGAGCAGGGAACCACCTTCGCGGTCTATCCATTGATGGTCTCCGGGAGCGAAGTGAAGCCAAACGCGATCACGTTACTGCACCTGGAGACTGTTGTAAATCAGAAACGATGGATCTCTCCGAGCGAAAGTTTATTCTACTCCGTCGTCTACGCACCTAAAGCTGACCTCCCGAACGCTTTCCTCAAAGACGTAGTTGTGACTCCCACTGGTGAGCTGGACCGACCGGGAACGACCTCCCCATATTATTGCAAGGAAGGTTTCAACGAGGATAGCTTGAAAATATGATCAATCTATCTTTTCAAGGCTTCACGGAACACGAGGTGGCCAGCATGACCAAGGTGCTTTCCTTGTTCAGTGGGACGCTCCAGGCATCGATGGTCAAGACGAGTAAGCCAGAGAAAAAATTGACGGGAACAACCCATCTTATCTGTGCGACTGAGAATCCCAATAGCAAACTTGAAGCGGCAAAAAAATGGAAAGTCCCCGCTGTTTCGGTAAGAGGAAGATGATCCTTCTCCCAATAAAATTCATTGCTGTGACGGATATCTCGCTCAGATTCTCAATGCCTGGCTGAAATCGTAATATCTCTGAAATCATTGCAGCTGACTTGGCTCATAGCCTGCGCTCGCGAAGGTCGGAAGGTCAGCGTTAAAGAGCACCTGATCGAGAAGAAACAGTGGGACACTCTGCCCGAAGACAAAAGGCGGGCGTCACCGAAGAAATCCGCTTGTGACACCCCTCTTGACCATAGGAAGAAACCTATAGAACTGGGAACGTCCCAGATAACGTCCGAGATCCAGGAGAAACCCCAGTCCGCCACCCCGAACAGCGCGCGGCTGTCCATGGGCGCCGCACAAACGCCAGTGCTCTCGTCACAGCGGATGAGGGAGATCTACGAAGAGGCATCGAGGTTCAAGACCCCGAAAACATCAGCGGTCTCGGATGTCGACTCGCCAGGCGTGCCTCGCATAGGATCCGAACGAATTCAGGAGATGATCCGCAATATCCAAGAGTCCCCGCATCCGTATGAGGTTCCCGAAGCTTCGTTTGACGAAAAAAATTCCCAAGCCGTCAGCGGTGAGAAATTCCCCCCATTCGGCGGCGTCCTGTTTCTGTCGTCCCGTGGAGCAACATTCCAAACCATTCCAGAAAGCCTCGCAGCTCCTTTCGAGTTCCCGCGATTCATTCCATGTTCATCATCGTTTACATTCCGATAAACTGATGAGGAATCTTCCCGTTTTGTAGCGAAAACAGCGCTCGCCAAAGGGCGACCCTTGGACGGCGTTGTGGTTCTTCTGGACGAAGAGAGTGTTGGGCCGTTGTCGTTCGAATTGAAGATGTCGATCGAGAGGCTCGGCGGCTGGGTTTGTCACACCATAGAGAGATGCTCCGTCGTCGTCAGCGGGGGCAGAACGAGCGACAACTCGCGAGCCATGACGATACGGGCGCAGCGGCTCGAGAAACCCATTGTGGGCGTAGAATGGATTTACGCGGCAATCGATACGATGGAGCTCCCGAAATACGAGGACTTCCCCACCGATTACGAGGCACAAAAGGGAAAATACATAAGGTCGAAATCGGTGAGTTGGAGCGGATTCGCATTTTTTGCGAACATACATTTAAATGCTCCCGGGTCGGCGAGGAAACCGAATGATTGACTTAGGCTGTACTATAACTTGCAGTTTAAAGATTACGAGGAGCGGCTGAACGACTCGGATCTGGATAATTCCAAAACCAAAATCGCAGCAGAGGTATGTTGACGTAATTCCAGGTCTGAATTCCTGCGGGAAATTCCCATGGGAAACCGACCCTTGAAGAAAACTTCCGAACGCAAGTTGAGTCTATTCCTCATTCTCCTAGAGAGCGACCCCGACTCCGCCGAAGGACGATACTGGCATGACCGTGTCGGAGGAACCCTCTATGACTCCACTGATGCGGTCCTCGACATTGCGACGACACTCTTCCGCTTCAAACGCAAGTACACCGACGATCCCGGCCACACCACTGGCGAGTGCCAGTAATAAGGTCGCCAAAGACCCACTACAGGATCTCATCTCTTCCGCTCGGCGTACATCGGTCAGCGTGAGCCACAATAGAGTTTCGAAAGTCATCGAAGAAGAACCGAGGTCTTTACTGAGGAAGTCACAGATGGGACTCCTCAATCAAGATTCGTCCGGGAGCGTTCTGGCAGACATAGAAACGCAACCTGAAGACGGTGAGCAGAAATAGTGGTTTTGACTGATCCGAGGCCCGATGTCGGAACTCTTCATCGTAGTACATATATGAGCTCATCCAGCTCGCAAATGATGGCCTTAATATTTCTCAAGGGATTACCTACGGAGGGAAGATGGGCATCCCGACATCTACGCAGCTCCTCAACACGACAAGCGACGAACCAGTGGACCCGAATTTCGGAGATCTATCGATCGTGAGTTCTGCGAGAAGGCATGGCATGAATTGCGATTCAATGACCTGAAGAGGCGGGGCCCGGGATCGTATGCTCGATCCTCTCGATCGCCCTGCAATCCTGCTCGGGAGGTCCATGAAATCGAAATTGTTCTCCTCAGGTCAAACAACGCGGTGACTACCTCGATTCCCCCGAAAGGACTCCCAAACGCTCTTGGGAAGAAGGTGATGCAGGGAATGCAGGCAAACGTTTCAAGAAGAATGCTGTATCGCCGAAGAAGCCTACTGGCAGATCGATCTCTGGCGAGAAAATCTTCGTTTTGTACCACTTGGACGATGAAACGTGAGCCGCGACATCTCCCTGATCTTGACCTCCCGATTTATCTGGGAATTCTTGAGGTGACATCATTTCGGGTTGTCGGCGTCGGGTCGACGCGACCGACGATGTATTTTCCCGGACGACCGACTTACCAGTTTCCCGTAATTTTTCAGGACGACGAGACTCCGGGAAATTATTGTCTCATTGGGCGGATCTGTCATCGAAGATCTCTCCTCTGACACCTTCTCGGAGAACTCATCTCATAAAGACCCTTTGATGATAATCGATCCCGAAAACAGTAGAGTTTTCAAGAAGAAGTCGGTGCTTCAACAATTGGCTTCGGGCGGTTGGATATTGGAGCCGCGATTTTTGGAAGATAGCGAGGTTGAAGGACATTTTCTCAAAGAAGATGACTACGTTGTGGGAGTCGGTTCGAAGAGCAGCAAACTCAACGATGGTCGTTTCGCGTGCTGGCTAAGATGGAGAAAACTCCGCTTGGAGCGAGGCACCGGCGCGTTCGATGGTTGGAAGGTGGTTTTGTTCAGCGCTTCCGCCGAACGCGAGAAAGGACATCGGACTCTACTCACGGCTGGCGGTGCGACGGTTCTCACAGAAGACAAACTGGCTGACGCAACGCACGTGTTCCTCGCCAAGGGAGACTCGGCGACCGCTCATCGAGTGCGCACAAAGGTTTCCGCTGACGCTAAGGTCTTGGCGAACGAGTACATGCTGCACTACCTGTCTAATGCTGAGGTGAGTCACGGGAAGGAAGGTTTGCCGATAAGTCACTTGTGATCCTTCAGTACGAACTCTCGACCTATTCTGATTCTTCGGCGGATAGTCCGCATTAGTACCTACTCACGATTCCGCACCATCGATGCCTCTCCGCAGGTGAACCCCGAACAATTCTCAATCCGATGAGATCGCGAGAGGCCAGATGCAGATTGCCGGATACTCTTGTACATAAAATGAACAATGACTTCGTCTGGAGCATGATAGTGATTGTAGATTCAGATCAGCGAATATGGATCAAAGAAAACAGATGACTTCTCTAGAATCGATGGCGTCTTCATTCGACGAGGCTCGCCTCTTGCTAATTGCCTATTCAACGAACTTTCCCCTTCCCCCTGTTTCCAAGGAACGGGTGAACTCATGTCAGCATATCCCGGGCAGGGACTGAAATAAGACGGAAAATAATCATCATTTCATCATTATTACATTTTCTCTTCGATCTCCGGCTCTATTGTTGTCGAAAACGATGCTTCCGAGAAGCATCGCAGAGGTCCACGCCCGGTGTCCGGATGAAGATCGCCAGATCATTGGTTCCTGATTTTCTCGTTCAAGCTTATGTTTCGGTGCCGAACATTGCTCGAAAGGTCCTCTACGCTGACCGTAGCAGTAGATTCAAAATGGTCGTGTGCTTCCTGCACACGGTATACCATCTTGTCAGAGCGTGGCGTTCCTGCACGAGCTTGACATTCGTGCCCGAAAAATGGCGGGACGATACGATCGATCAGCTCAGGATCGCCTTTCTCTCGACGAGAATCCTCTTTGATTTATGGTGCGCGCTGGGTTTCAATGAAATCGAGAACCGGCCTCGCGGGGGAAAACGCGTCGACCTCGATAGTCGCTACCACCGACTTTGTGCCCTCCTCTTATTACTGGAAATCCAGTACTTTGCTTCAATCATTATATACGACTCTGAGTTCGTGGGACTGGAGCTTATGGTTCTTCTTGAAAAGGTTGAAGTCCACGAATCGGTCGATATCGGCTTCTGTGCCCCGCATGCTTCGTTTCCATACATGACTAATAGCTAATTCTTCGATATCTCGCCAGGTTTTCCTAATAACACCGCTCATACTCGTGGAGCTCCTTGCTTCAACTATCCCTTGAATCCGAGATCCGCATCCATACCCGAGCTTGATCCGCAAGATTCGAGGATGTGTCTGGTGCAAAATAATTGGACTGTTCGTAGAATCAATTTTGGAACCGCCGGAAGCCTTTTGTCCCAATCCTCAGGATCGTCTTGAACGCGAGACTGGGTGAGTATCTCATGCTCATTCCTGCGAGATCCATGGATGAGATCAATGATCGCAGTTTTTCCGTCGGAAACACTTTTATTACAGACAAATGCAGTGACTTCCTTGCACCTTCCTTCCAATCATTTCTAGGCGATCGATGATGACAACCGTATCGTCCTTCGAAGATTTTCTTTCGTCATCCCATGGTCGTCAATTCTAAATACGATGGATCGTTGCGTGTCGAAGAATAAATTATTCAATATATTATCATTTTCGCTACATCCGAATCCTGCATTCAATCATTGGAAAAGTTCCCAATACGGAAGATCTTGATTCCACACTCTACGGCCGCCGAGTTTTCATCGTGAAGCGGAGCAGAGGTCTGACTCTCTGATGTACCGGGTCAATTACACGCTTCCGTCATGGGGAATCGCTCGATGAGCGGAGCGGTATTGTGTAGAGTGTAGAGGATGGAGCGGCACCGATAAATTTCAGCAGTAAATTTCACTCAAAGTGGCTCTCAAGGAATGTGAGAACTTGCTCCACAGGAATGTGAATGTCAGCTACATTGAGAACTATCTGATCGCCACCGATGCTCACTCAAGGACCCTAAAACGCAACGGCTCCGAATTCCGAGCAGGGAACCCGATGCAGGAGAGATCCCATTACGATGAATCGACCGACATCTGGAGGAGGCCAGACGGAATACGATTTCCCAAGAGTTTCGCCCGCAAAGATGATCGTGACTTAAAAACACTGCCGAATCTCGGGGGATGCCGTATCACAGAAGAGTCACACGATATTCTCCATACGGAAGATTTTGCTAGCTCGAATCCAGTCGAAAGGAGGAGGACAGAAACGGCCATAGGGTAATCAGCCCGTCGGGATTGCGCGATGATCAAAATGAATGCTCCCGAATGACTTGATTCTTATCATCTCCATTTCCGTACATGTGTGAGATAAGCCATACATCAAATGAGAAGTATTCACGGACATCGTCTCGCTTTCACACCGTATCACAAACGTAAAACGCGCAGACAGACAGGCGTAAGCACAAATGAACGACGCGGCAAATGGATTTTCGCTTCAGTCATCACTTGAGATGCGTCGCGAATCTTGTAGATTGGGTCGACAGATTAAAAATCTGAGGATCTTCCACGATCATTAATATCCTGGAGGAAAATCATTTTGAGCAGGAGAAACCGTGTGAGCGAGCCCAGTGTCTGGGGATGCGAAGCGACCAGATTTTTTACGGAGGAAGAACAGGATCGGGAGTCACGCCGAAGACGTCGGATCCACTTCCAACAGGACGAAACTCCGCAATTCGAACTTCCGAACCTAGTCACGCCTTCCTCTCCGAGAGCCCGACGGCCCCTCTCTACGAAATTCCCAGGGTCGATGGAGGCGGGTGCCTCAATTTCACCGAAATTCCAAGAACAAAGGGTGAAGTGAGCCAGATCGAATGAACTTCCGGATGAAGTCCGCCCCCTCAGACGGAAGACGACGGACCCATCATGGGCATCACACCGAATGTTTCAGCCTTCCTCCTCTGACCTCGTATTCCTTACGGCGAATGATGGGCTGCTCGAGCCCGGGAACGACCTCCTGCGCCGACATGCTCTCACGCCTCTACACTCACGCTTGGAATATAATGCTCGATCTATCGCCCAGATCGTTGGAAAATCCGGAGCTAGCGCTAGATAGTCCTTCGGAACGCTAGCGATTCTCGCGTACTGAACTAGTTCGCTCCCGACTACAGCTATCTCAGTATTTCGGGTTGTGTGTCGATTCAAAAGTGTAATCAAGTGTTGTTTCAACGTCATTTTGAGGCACTGGGTTTCTGACTAGTGATCGAAGTGGTTCGAGGAGCTCCGTCTCGAATGTCCTCTGAGCCGTGAAAGGCGTTCCTCGTTCCGCGAACCGCCAAGATAAGTCATTTGTCGCGACTGGCAATATGTACATTTGTTTTGACACATTAAGTACTTGAATCTATGGTTTTCTAAATTCGAAAGCTGAATTCTTGTTCTAGTTCAGCGACCGTCGGCTTCCTCTGATCAGGAGGATTGCTATCAGGCGGAGTCGGCGGAGCCGGTGACGGCGCACCTGAGCTTCCGCACCACTCGTACTGCTGATTAGGGGTGGAGAAGTCGTGATGCAAGCTCAAAGGTTGTCGCGAGCCAGCCATGCTCGGGAACCTTGGATCCATCCTGGAAAAGAGCGCGAGATCAGAAATTTCCTCCCCCGTGAAGAGCTCTGGGCATTCCGAATGGCGATGCCCACATGCGGAACGCTCGGGGTCGATGCAGAAATTGGCGACTGGGACTCACATTTCTGGTGGCGTTCTGTCGGGGGTATATCTGCCTTCGTTCGGCTGGAAGTGTTTCGGCTGAAGATTGAGCGTTGAGGGTCGTGAATGAGTTTCAGGATAAGACAGTTTCCGCATCATGAACGGTGAGCCGTGGACTTTGTACGCGTTCGCGTTCGGAGTGCTCATGTTCCTCGCGAAAAACTGCGGTGGTCGCGGAGGTGACCTGGGCACAGCAGTCGGGTTGTCGAACACCGAAGAGCCATGCGAGGAAGCCGGAGAACTCACTGGGATGGAGTAAGATGGTCGCGGGGGAAGTTCATACGGAGATGGCGATGCTCCTGCTGCTGCTGAAGCATGCGGGTTACACAACGTCTCGGCTGAGGTCAGTTCAGCCGACGATGGAGTGAAGGGATAGTCGCTCGTCTGCAGAGGCGTCGACACCGTCGCGTTACCTGCGCCAAACGAACTGAATAAGTTTCGAAGCTGGGAACGACCGGCTTGGATTTTCCCTGTGCCTGTGGCTCCGTCCCCTCCCCTTCCCCCTCTCGATCCCCGGGATCGCTTTTCCGTCGAGTCCCCGTCCGAATCCCCATCACTCCTCAAGTCGTTCCCAGGCCCACCTCGGCCCACCTGCCCCCAGCCTACGGCGCTGCCAAGAACTTACCGAGTGGCGACGGTCCGAAACCCGAGCTCGCTGAATTGTAAGCCTGGTCCGAATCGTGAGACGTTGTTGAGCTTCGTCTCCGATACGTCACAGGACTCTGTTGGCCCCCGAAGTTAATTTGACCCCACAACGGCTGGCCTGTACCGATAAGCGAAGGACGGGTCGCCGAATTTCGCTGAGTCATTTGACCATGATAGGTGTTGTGGCTATACTGGCCCCTTCCTTTTAGGGGCGAATCATCTAAACTTCGCGGCGCCGATATGTAACTCTGATCTCCATCAACCATGTGCTCGCCGCTGCCCAGTTCATTAAAGCTTCTTGAATGGTTCTTCAGAGAGACGCTCTGTCTGTCTCTACCGATTCCGATCGTCGACAGTAGGGACTTGCAGTGCTGCTTCACAGCAACGAACATGTTCTTCCTCCTACTGTCTTTCTCCTTTGTGGGAGTCAACGCAGGAGATCCCTCGATGCTGATCGATTGATCGCCATGCGGGTATGCACCAGGGTTCACGATCAGATTCTGAAATACCAGGGAGTGAATATAACGAATGATGAATATTCACTTTGAGCACCGGAGATTCGTGATAAAATCCCTTATTTAAGAATTCGGAAAGATTCGGCGAATGCCGTCAATTGAGTCAAGAATTCCGACAGGGAGGAAGTCGACTCTCGAACGCACCACGTCCTGATCGCGGACCGTCGAGCTAGGCCAACACTGATTCCAAGAATCGTCGTGTTCCACGATTCCTGCGCTCCCGGGCACTAGCAAGTGAGTTTGTTGCGCAAGCGTTGAAGGTCCCCACGTCTGTCCTTTCTGGCATCCATTGAGTGTCGGAGTTGTGCAAGCACTGACTTGACTCGTATGAACTGGAATCAGCGATCGATATTAGTGCTCGATCTTCTTAGATGACCTCGGAGTGATTCCCGAGACATGATACTCACTCGGGAGGGCTGCTCTCGTTATGATGGGTGAGCCCTGAGGCCGCGAAGTACAACTAGACGTCACGAATCCCAGGTTGCTGTCCAGGGACTCGTTATGGAGACCGGAAAAGGCGAGATGGGGGGATCTTCCGAGCGTGGGAGAATTCGTCAACGTGCTCGTCAAGTGGTTGGTGGCCGAGCACGCTCTGGGTCGATTGAAGCGACCGACGTTCGGTGAAACAGGATAGGCTAAGGGCTGGCCCAGAACGGTCTGGCTGTTCCACGAAAGAATGTGTTTGAAGTCAGTCGGCGGTGTAATTTCAACGTTGCGTCGCTTGAATTTCCCGTTGCGTTTCTTCGGTAGCGGAGCGCATTCTTTGAGACGCGCCTGGTTGAGCTCGCGCTGAGTGAGGTCACGGTCTCTCTCCTCGAGTTTTTTCCAGAAAGAATGCACCGCGTCTTCGCGTCGTTTGACTTCCTCCAAGCGGCTTCCGATCTCTTTCTCTTTCTCGAGAACTCGCGCTGCTGCTTCTTCAATCTCTTTCTTCCAGTTACATTGCATCGTTTGGAATGAATCTTGTGGGGTCGCCATTATGGACGACTTTGAAATCTCTTGGAGACGATCGAGGATTTCGATGAAGGAGGGCCGTTTGTGGGGGTCGATCTCCCAACACGCTGCGTGGAAAAGATCGAGATGAAGGGGAACGTCATCCCATCCAGAAGGGATTTGAGATATTCGGGCTCTCCCGGCTGCCTCTACATTTTTCATATCCTCGTACACTACCCACCTTTCATTAAATCTCTGAATGCATGGGGACAAGTTTCGGGAATATGCAACTTCAAGGAGCCCGTGCCTATCCCGTAGGCGATGGCCATGTCGTTGAATTCTTTATACGGAGTCTCACTGGTGAGGAGTTCCCACAGAACAACTCCGTAGCTCCACACATCCGATCGGGAGCTATACTTGTTCTGTTTGATGTTCTCCGGAGCCATCCACCCGCAAGTGCCGCCCCGGCTCGTTATCGTCGACTGCAAGCTTGTGCGAGCCAAGCCGAAGTCAGTGATCTTCAGAGTCACAGCTTGACCTGTCTCCGGGTCGTAAGGTGTGGCGAGCAGAACTGAAATGGGAGCAAGACGAAGACATGTAATTTTTTCACGCTCGGTCGGTTTCGGAGCGATATTTTCTTTCTCCACCGCGACGGAGGCGATGTATTGGCAACATTCAAATTAGTTCCAGCCATGAAATTATATCCCCAAGTAGAACACTCGGTGCGCTGGTTTCCGCCGCAGCAAATTCCTCAACGTTGATGACGACGTCAGTTCCGAAACGGATATCGAATTCCCGGTATTCATTTTCAAGAGGAGTGCATCGCAAGAAACCACATGAAAACCCGAAGATCCACTCCTCGGCTGCTAGAATCTCGAGGGAAGCTCCTCATTGTTTTTCGAGGCCAGTCCTGAGTTTGGCCAGCGGTCCAGAAGAGGACTCAGTTCCACGATACCTATGGAACACTTGTCCACCACCTGTGTGGCTCCTTTTCGATATTTCGTCGACTTGACCACGCAGGGGTAGGCAAAGATCCGACACTGAGCCTGTGACACATGCCGGGAAACTATTTACCATTCGTAGACTTGAGGTCTCGATGGATTATATTCTTCGAATGGATATACTTCATTCCCTCGGCGATTTGCTTCGCCCAATCGAGGAGGGTCACGAGACTGATGTGATGGTTCACCAGAACCTTGTAGAGGGCGCCGCCCAAGCAGTACTCCATGATCAACCAATAGCTTGGCGGGTTGTTGCAGAGACCTGAATGGGGAGGAAAGAGGCAGATTGAAATAGACGGATTTGCCTTCTTCCGGCAACCGGAATCCATCAAGATGTCGAGTTTGGGCGATACTCACCGAAAAGGTGAACAATGTTCTCATGGTTCAGTTGCCAGAAAAAACTGCCTTCTTTCTTGAGGGCATCGCACGTGGCAACGGGATCCTTAGCGTCGAGCGCTTTTATGGCCACAGATTGACCCTTGTACGTCCCGGCGTAGACCTGCAAGTACGCAAGAGGATTAGCCCCGGACCCGTTGCCTGGTCGCATCGGCTTCATCGACTTCTGATGCTAGGCACAGCGATGATGATACTAACCCTCCCGAAACCTCCGCTACCGATCGCGGTGCCTCGGACGACGTCCTCGAAACGAATTTCAGGGGGACCGCTGTTACTCTCAGACGTGTCCTCGTCGTCTTCGTTGCTGGGGGCATCTCCGCTCTCATTGGCGACGTCCACGAAGTTTTGGGGGAAAATTCCGATCTGTGAAGCGAAACATTCAGGCTAATACGCATACACGACAGAAACAGAGCCCCCAGTGCCCGGGTTCCGTCGTCGTTCCAGGGCCCTCTGTGTAATGGAGATGCCGTATCGGAAACGGGCCGTTCATATTGAAGAGTCCTGGATCATCGTCGCTAAAGAGCATGCCGACGAAAGACTGAAGCGCTCGACCGGAAGGCCGAGTCGTGAAAAAAACTTGATGATGTCATTCCCAAGAAGCCGGGACAACGGTTCGTCTCGTTTGACTCGGCCGATCTTGGCGAGAACAACACCATCACTGTTGGCCCGGCCATATGCGTGGGCTGTAAAATCGCATCCCGAAGAGCGCTCCTCCGAATGTAACGGATTTTTCCAAACGGTGACCAAATCGGCGCTCCTTGCTAGCTGCACACAACACCGGCCAGCGCTCGGAAATCTGATTCGGTCTTATCTCGATAAAATCTCTTCTCAATTTTCGTCGGTTACATTCGATTGGATCGGAACTCTCAATCATGATTGTACCGCGACATAGGAGCGGAATCCTCAGAGGGCTCAGGCGAGAGGTGAATCCTCATGCAGGAATCCAAAGAGAGCCGTCAAATTCCTGCATGGGTGCGTAAACTGCGGCCGCTCGTAAAATACGTGATAGCGTTCAATGGGTGGAAGAGGAATTTCTCCTCGACGGAGACTGCAGGTAACGGAGAGCACCGAGAGGAAACGCCGATTCGATCGGAAGAGAGGCATCATTAATAGCTACGTATAAATGACCCGGAATCGAGCCGCCGCCACCGACCGACGTCGCCGCTAGAGCCGCGGCGGCAATAGTGACCTTGGCTGCGCCGCAGCCCCGCCGACGCAATGCGATTCGTCGGAGCGGATGGTAAACGAATCCATTCTCTTGACAGGCACTGACGACCACGATATCAACAACCTTAACAACAACGATCGTCCAGCGATGGGCGCAACGTGCACACGTACCTTCTTGTCGATTTGACCAATCCACCAACCATCATCGCCGGAAATTTGCGTATCCTCACTAAGAACCAGAATTTTCTCACCCCGTTTCAGGGTGAGCTCGTCTTCGCCGATCCCTTCGTAATCATATAAAACCTGAAACCACAATGAGCCAATTGTCTCATTGTTAACGGAACAAACAGCAACCCAGCATAATTATCAACTCATGGAAATCATGAACTCAATCATTGTAATGAACTTAAGCTAAATCTGACTCGACGAAACTCGAATTGTACTCGAAACGAATCGAAACATAATATTGAACACGCGTCGCTCAGTCCTGATTTTTTTCACCAGAACTATTGGGAGCTCCTGGACGGGGTCGGCGATTTTCGGCTCGTTATCATGCCAAAATGACTCTGAGAATACTCACGGTGCAAACTTTCTCGGACTTCCTGTTCTGCTGAGGGCCGCCTCCACCTCCCCCGCCCCCATCACAGGCCCGTTCGTCAGGCATAGACCCTCCTGGGGACAGTGGAGGGTCTCAGCTCGGTTTGGCCCTACAACCTGCAGTGGGGAGATTTGACCCTCATCTGATTACATTCGGGTTCCCTGAAAGGAAAAATTAAATCATGCTCAAGGTATATGGGTCAGCCCAAGCTATAGAAGAACTCCAGGCACAGTATGGTGGAATATCAACCTCTGAAGTATCCCATTGCTTATGAGCTCCCGAGATGATCAGCATCAGCGAATACTGGCCCTGGAGCCCTGAGACCGCGTCAGGTCTGCATATGGAGACTCGGCCGACACCCGTCAATCGAAAACCCCGGAGAGGGATCATGTAAGCTGCGGGGGTCTTTGTGAGCGATTCTCGAACCCTTTTTCCGGGAGAATGCCCCTGACTTTCAGAAACCTCTACTGGGGAATCCTCAGGGGAGCTCTAAAGCCTTATTCTGGACGGAATCAATCCAGGATAGCGTTTCGGATCAGTCAAGGGAAAGCATGGGAAAGCATCGGAAAGTATGGACATCGCAGTCGCCCTGCCCCCGGAAATTGAGTTCGTCAGCACAAAGCTCACTTGAGACCGTCCAAAGTCATCGGATCCGTGGTGATTAACGGTTCCGGGATATGCGATAGGTAGTGTCGATCGACTTCGAACATTGCATCCAGTGATGACTGATGACGATACTCCCGCGAGACGCGTCTCGTAAACATTCTGAATAGACTTTTTCTGTGAAGCTGATTCTATTGATTTGGGGGCGAAAATGTTCGAAACTTCATGGATTGAAGCTCATCTTCGGCTCGTGGTACATCAGCTGGGAACTCGAGGAAGCATCAGAAATTCCCTGATCAACTTCAATGAAAATGCTGTATGGAATTATTCAATCGAATTGCATCAGGTTTAGCCTTCCCTCAGGTGTCCGAGGGCTGGGAATCGTAGGGACAGACGACTCCGGCTATGCGGTTGCTTCCACAGAGCATTGCCGGAGGCGAACGGACACGGATTCCACATTCATTGAAGAAGACTGACTCCTTCCGAACACAGAATCGCTTCCGCTAACGGAACATTCGCTTCGCCAAAGGCGAACGGACTCGACAATCGCGAGGAATTCCTGTCTAGGAATTTTAGGACCTCACCTAGCTGCTGCAGCCTTATCTGTTTAAGCGATAAGCGTCTACGGTTTCTCGGAAGCGTCCACCGTCCAGCTTCGTGCAGGCCATCGCTCCAAAAACGGAATTCATGGGCTGCGCTTTGAAAGCCGTCGCATATTCCATTCATGAATTCATTCTCGCCGTCCTGCTCCACGGTATTGAATAGCGTGAATGCGGTTCATCACCAGTGCTCCACGCCGAAGGTGAAGAGAGAGGCCCAAATTCACCGGGCTCGCTTCTGATTTGTCGAGAGGATCTCCCGTTCTGCACTCTTCGGCCGAAAGGGGGTCCAGTTCGACGTCCTGAGGGACCAGGGTCGAGAAACGATTGAATCACGGAATTCCGACAGATTTGCTCGACGATTATCTCCAGAATTTTGGCTTGTACGAAAGCATAATGAGCTCTGACACCACTGCCGTCATCACGGAGACGATCCTAAGATTTCGTTTCGGTAAAAATCAATAAATTCGGAGGAAGAGCCCCTCCAGGTTTCGGATCGCTGAACGTGATATTGAAGTCGAAAACGGGCTTCTGGAGTCGGGTATTCCAATCACCCACTCCGAGCAGGTCTCTCATCACCTTCCAATCTACTTCGGTCCAACTTGATATAAAATCGAGCGATACCTCAGGCCCAATTAAGCGCTTGGAAAGATCGCGGGGACTCCTATGGGAATCCCAGTGCCGAAGCTTGCGAATGCTTACCTCGCGCTTGCCATCCAACGGGGTACGTTCCCCACCTACTCCGCGCTCGGGAGGTGCACGAACAGGGCGTTTATGCTTTCAAGAGGGATATATTCCTGTGGCGGTCCCTGAATTTCACTCAGAGTTATAGCAGTCTCTCCGGCTTCAAGGTCCGTGCTGGCTTCCTCTCGGAACACATAACATATCAGAACGATTCCGGAACACTGCAGATATTCCAATGTTTCAAGTTCACACACCAAAAACAAATCGGGCACTGCAGAACGCCATCTTGAAAAAAAAACATGTGAATGAACGCATTCGTGGAGCGACAGGCGATCGCAGCATGGTCGGGAATGGCCCCAAGGTCTTCAGCACTAGTTTACATATTCGACTTATCATTCGTCAGATTGAGCTCCCCAGCTCCTGGAAGTACCCGAAAAAATCGGAGGGTTCCCCAGAATAGCCCACGATGGAAAAGCCCGCTCCGACAAATGAAGCTATAGCCTGAGTCAGTGACCTACAGCCAAAAAGAACACGAGGTCTTTCCTGGCCGCTCCTTGTGGATCACCATCTCGAGAGTCGTTCGTATCAGCTCCGAGTATTCCATTTCGGGATAGAGCGGATAGATTTCCCGGTACTTCCCCGGGCTCGGGAGTCAAGGACTCGATTCGGTGGTTCTCCCTGATGGCGGGGACGCGGGTACGCTTTCGCATCGTCAGAAGTTCCTCCTGGAGGATTCGAACAGATGGTCCCTCGACCGATGAACTTCCTCTGATGGCTGATGATAGTAATGCTGGGGCCTGATCGGCGTAATGGCGAAGCTGATGACTTGCCCGAAGCCCTTGAGCATCCGAGTTTATGCTCATCGAACTCACCCATAGTCACAGAGACCTCGTGGATCCATTGATTGACAAGAAGAGGCTCTGCCGCGGAGCATACATACTTGGCCTAATAACGATTCATCATCCTGCGATGGTTGACGGAATTCAGGCGGCTCTTTCCAAGGGAGACTCATTTCCTAGTGCAGTCCTGGAGAATTCTTGTCTCTACTACGGTAATCGATGGGAAGGATAGAGTGACTCAGCGGACGCTCGACACCGGAAGGTAGATCAGGATCTCCAGAGGTACGATCTGAGGAGGAGACCTCCAGACTTGAGCACGAAGGGTAGGCATAGCTTCCCCGGAGTCCTCAGTCCTTATGGAGGATTCTCCCGGTAGAGGAGCATCACGAGGATTTCAGTAGACTTCTCCTCAACAAAGTCCTTATATTGAACTCCCCTTGGCGAATCATCCAGAAAGCCGAGGACCGTGATCCGTGATATCCCCAGGAATGCTTCACCACCCATCTTCCGGAATCACTCGCTCTCTTACCACAGCGCTAACTCGCGGATCTGAAAGCGGGCACGACGACGAGCCGCGAAATTCACTCTCTTGGTGCAGCTTTTCTAACTATCGCATCCGGTGAACGGTATCCTCGTTCGAATATATCGGCGTTTATTGCGTTTGGTGGAGCATTCTTCAAGAGTACCCGCCCTAAAGCGACAACTTGGTCAGGCGGCCAATTTCTCGAGGGCCGGAGCGGGATACACATTTGAGGTGACCGAGTTGAGAGCTATTATGATACACTTTGCTAACCCCCACATCCATCGCTAGCTCCGATATATGAGGGCAAGTCGTCGAGGGTTCCGTCGATTTCCGCCTTGAATCGTCATCTCGCCTCAAGCGTAAACTACGAGTGAGCGTACGGTGACCTGACGCTCCCCTAGCTCCATCCACTAAGCTACCACGCGGTGCTCCGTGTGTAAGCGTCGACGCCCGGCCCCGGTCGTATTGAGTTTCGTGCAAGTTCAGATATTGTACGCTCGTGTATTTTATTCCAAATCGAGCTGCAGCGAGCGCGTTGTCAGAGATATCTCATCCTTTCAGGCCACGATATGCAGCCGGATTGGGAACATTCTGGCGATCTAAAACTCCTCGCCCGATTCCCTTTTAGTCTCGCGGGTTCGAAAGTGTAATAATGTTTGGTTCCATTTCGGGAATCAGAAAAAACGCGGTATCGAGATGATATCTACATCAGTGGTTCTGAAGCTCCGTACTTCCGCGGGTCCACTGAGTCAGAGAGCGCCTCGCTGATCCTGGCGGAGGAAAAATAAACTTAGAGAATAACTTACTGTGATACAGCAGAGCAAGCCTACATTGGTGCTGTATGCCCCCGATTCACTTGAATCATGAGCGCCGAAAAAAAATCCTTCGGTGCTTCGACCGATAGTGCTCACCAGCTTCGTGGAGCCTTATACGATCAAGGCACAAGAATCTCTTCTAGGAACAGAAATCAGCCAATAGGATTCAAGGCAATAACTTTTCTCCTTTTCGTTCGCAATAAATTCTAGGCTCTCGGTGCCTTCTCAGTCGTTAGTTGCACCTGCTAATCCGCGTCGAATTCCGAACCTCTCGGAAATCGCGTACTCCAGAAGAACCCCCAGATCCTGGACTTCACGGCCAATCTCTCTGAGCTTCCAGAGAAGGCCGATATACCTCATTTGAGTGCAAATGATCCAGTCCACACACTGTTCTCAGCAGCGTTTCGCCCGTTACGACTGACACAGCATCGGATATCTGTCTCGAAGTCAACGCCTTATCGAACAAGCCTGAGGCCGCAGGCGCGAACTGGCTCTCTACAATTCACGCTGTATAATAATTACAGTCAACGAGCGTAGAGGAGGCGAGAAGCTTAATTTCGGTTAGTGTACGAGGCGATGGGACATAATTTTCTGGAGGATTTCCTCAATTACCTCGACCGCGGGAACACTCAATGACTTCCTCCCACCACTCCCCTCTACAACATTGGGAGAAGGCATGGAGCCGACGCCTCGTTCTCTTCTGAAACTTCTCTTCGAGCCCAATGGGAAGTGTGTATCGCGCAGAGTTGTTTGGTCAGGCCGCTCGAGCACTATTCGTCCAACGATTCGAGGAGCGGAGACGACAAGGTGTCCGGCTGCCTTCTTCGCTTGCGGAGAATTCCTCTCCACCACGCAGCCGAGGCTCCGAATCATGTCTGGGTCCCCAGAGTCTCGAGGTCGAATCTCATAACGCATCGGATTCGGTTTTTCTCAACTACGTTTACGGGGGATCTCCGCGAGAGCTGCAATATTTTCCAGCAGGATTCCTGTGACGATGAGAATGATGGTGAAAGATATATCGCGCCGACTCCCGGGGGCGCACTCGGAATCTGCGGGAGTCGCCCCAGGAAGGCGACGCGAAAGATCCCAACAAGGAACGGCCGAGAATGAACAAGACAGATGAAACTCAAAGAAATACCCCGCGAGTCCCCCGGAGCGCTGAAGTCCGGGAGATCCGCCCAGACGTCCCGAACGTTCTCTTGTTCCGGGTTCGACCGCGGGTCAGTTCATGTCCCGCGCTCCTCAGACTAAATTTCGCGCTCCGGGAACGAGGTGATGCTTCTGAGCGCCACGCGTAATCACCCCATGGTCGAAACCGGTTCCCCTCAGGGAAGCAATCCGACCACGCATGTAGTATGGATGTTCGGTATTTCGGAGCGGCTCGAGATAATTGATAAGATGAGACACGTGGCAGACCGAAGCATTGATTGGAACGGACTCCGATTAAAACGAGGAGAGGAAAGCGGCTCGGTTTGTCCTGCCTGCTCAATCTCTCAAGCTTGGGTCCCGGTAAGCAGGTTCGTATATTCGTGTCCAGGAAGACACAATACCCGAAACTCGAGATTATTTTCTGGAATCCATGGGTACGAAACGAAACTTACGCTGACCTCAGACCTGGCCCTCCGTCGAGTCTCATCCCGCGCCACGACCGATGATACTATGTATACAGAATACAGACCACATCTCGCTTCACGCTGATGTATCGTTTCTAGACGTCGGGGGAGTTACGCCGTCCCTGCTCGTCTTCGGGGGCCTCTGCACTGAACATCTCGTGAGATCGCCTTGGCCTCAGACTTCTAGGCAATCGCAAGGCAGCAGGGAGAAGATCTGCTTCTTCAGATCTTCGAGGACTTCGCATGCCTCGAAGTTCCCCGATAATCTCCGGAGGACCGTGGGAAAATGGCTCCTCTCGGCATCTGTGTATGTTGAACATTATAAAGAAGCAAAAATGCACTTGACAATCTGCGTATCTAATGTATTCTAGGAGCCTGACCTTTGGCGCAGTCTTGCTTCCCTCTCGTTGGTAGTATCATCAACAGACTCTCTTCCAAGTCATTGGATTGGATGTCAAGAGACCAATCTGATGCGCTCGTCCCTGATCGAGAATACAGTCAATAGGAGCAGCTCTGCGGGCTGAGAGAAACTCGTAGAGAAGAACGCCGTTCCGATGAGTTTGACAGCATGTTTGTTTATCATTGCGACTTCAGTGAGGGCCCTCCCAGTGACCGACACTCGGAATATGGAAAAAGGACTCCTCGGCAAAATTCTTGGAGATGAGATATCATTCCCCGTGAGACCAGTCGGCGCTCACGGAGGTGATGCGAGTGAGTAACTACCGTCCCGAGTCGCAGAAGTATCTCTGTTTGTTCCGTCTTCAATTATGAGTACGGACTTCCGGAATTTCCAGACGCAGTTTCAATCCTGTCGAGTGGGCCTGTCACGATTTCCATCGCAGCTTTCGTCCGCGAGGTCGTCATGGAGCCGGGAGTGAGTTTTCCGGGATGAGCTTCGGATTCCATCCGGAGTTCTCCCGTAGCAGAAAGCATCCGTTTTCGCACCAAAAACGAGCGCCTTAATTTCGGACTTGACATCCCAGTCACGATTACAGGCGAAGGCAATCGAGTGTACCGTAGAAATAGTCGAGACTTGGTTGGACAGCAGACTCGGTTTTGACTCATTCAAGGGAAAAGTAGGTTTTGTCGTAGCCACCGTCGATCCATAGACGTTCCTTGAACTGACTCGATTGCTTCGGGCGTGTTATTGACCTTCATTTTTTTACCACCTTCCCCGAGTGAGGGGTCTTCCGACTCTCTGTTCAATAATTCGTCAATAAATCGGGCGATTCCCTGAGGTATGTTCCTGCCCTGAATCTCTCTCACCCCGATCTGAAAATCTTCGAGGTAAACGCGATTACGATCGTCGAAAGCTCCGGAGCGATCAACAGGATCTGGCAGACGGAAACGTTGATTCAGAATGGAGAGACCGAGAATGGTATCCTGGGTAGACTCCGAGTCTACCCGAGCGGGCACGTCGAACGGTTGCTGAGGTAGGCCTTCCCCAACCTTTCCGCTCCCTTAAGGGATAAACTCCGGACAAGACTTAATCCTGACCATTGAGAACTCGCAATGGAACGGGTCCAAGCGGGTCTTGTCTTACAGGTTCGAGGGAGTCCGTCTACCTTGCTACGTTGATAATCCCATCGTTTATCCGTTCCACGACACGCGATGTGTGCTGAGAATTGGAAGCAGTGAGTTGATGCAACGTACCTATCCAGATTTGGTCTCGGACTCGACGAGCTCGGAATGGCAGTCGGCAGTCATGGAGACCAAGCGAATTCCGACAAACGGTTGTTACACTTTCCAAGTGGCCCACATCAAAGAGGAGGTATCATACGTTTGGAACTCTACGTATGGAGTACGGATAGATGAGGCGGTCCGTCCGCAAAACATCTACCTATCGAAAATCGCTCTCCGAGCAGCCAACGTACTGATGCCAGGTTGGTCAGAGCCATCTGTCAAGGATTGTCCTCGTCTGTCGAAACCCGATGACGCTTCATCCAATAAGTAAACTGCTCTGTTCGGACCTGAAGCTCTCGAAATCATTAGTGCGACGATATCGTGCCTCACATTTCAGCAAGGATCGAACACTCCTTCATCGAAGCCACATTCAACTTCAAGTCGAACCGATTCGACCTACTCTGTCGATTTCTGGTTCCCTGCGTGTTTTGCGTCTCGCTCGCCTTCTTTTCATTCCTCGAGCTTCTCCGAACGCGATGCTTCACAATAATCTGGGTCTGTATCCGCCGGAGTATAGAGCGAATGAAGTTGACAAGATGAAGTCTGGCTCGCGACGCTCATCTAGGGACGGCTCATCGCAGGTCACAGATTGAAACTTTGAAATTTCGTATGTTGAATTTCTTTCTGGTCCGCAGATGGCGACTATAATGCTTTCGGTGTCGGTCTTTACGTGGCCGCCTGCGATTTGCGCTTTCCAGCTTGCATCGCTATTAGCCATCGTATCCTACTCGTACATCGTAGCGACGATGTTCGTCAGCTTATGCGGCCCTAATGCCGAGGAAGAGGAAAACCCACCGAGAGAGGTGAGATTCCAAGCCACGCGTGCATTTTCCTCTGCCTCATTAATTGGCTTGATGGATAGCAGTGGATAGAATGCTCTGATTGCTCTCATGGATTCTTGACGTGTTTTGAACCGCAGAGATGTCCTGTCAAGGAGCTACTGTCTACAGTCGTCACCGAAGGCTCACCGAACAGTGACATGATCGTACGGATTGCTCTATCGGTCTCGTACTTCCTTTTCGTGGTATTCTACTTGATTCTCATCAACAAAACTGCTTAATCTCATAATTCATAATAAAGATTTGAGTTATACATATGAAAAATAATTGGCTCCGAGTAAATCTTATGGGACCAGGCGCGTGCATTCGAATCCGTTCGGGAAGGCTTGGGGACCTTGAAGTCGGAAGATGAGGCCGGGGGGGGGATCATGACGCGCCTCCCCCTGATGAAAGCCTATACTTCAGCATTCTTTCGAGCCCTCCTATATACTATGCTACTGCTACTCGGGGCAAGGAAACTCGGGAGACTTCTGCATCTTCAGCCTCCTGCCATCATGATATTCGAATTGGGTGTGAACACAATCACCACCAGGCATTCATCCTGGAGTTTGTGGCATCGGGAGGGCATTCGTAGAAGGAGCCGCCATTTATAGGCCGGAGTTCGCCATTTCCAGATCTGCGATTCAAATCTGAGCACTCGCTGGAGCTCCACGCAGTTGATTGGAATTGCATGGAGGCGACCCGAGCCCCAGTTCACGTCGCCTCACAATGTCATAATTCGCCGAGTTTCACCTAGCCTCATGGGTCCGAGAGTCGGGCATCCTCGACTTGAGCATCTGACACCGTACCCCTCAAGACGAGGGCGCATTCTCACACGGGCAGAATAATCCCGATCGGACTTGAGACGGAATGCTACTCCACCAGGAGCCTCGAATCCAGGAGCAGTCCATTTCGGAGGCTCGGCGTGTGAACACTCGTCGTCCACGAATTTTTACTTTCCCCAGGCGGAGATCCTGCGGAACTTTCCACCTTTTGACAACTTCGGGAGATCTTGCTGGTCATCCTGTAGCCGGAAGCCGTCGACGAAGGCTCGAGCGTACGGTACTCGGTCCTGAGACGCGGAGTCCCCCACGATGATCAGTTTCGCGGAAGTCTCGTGGAATCCAAAGAAGTGCGGGAGCAACGGATGCACACACTGGAAACCGCAGTTACCGTAGACCCTCCCACCTGATTCCCTACGGGGACAATGCCCGGCGCTGGGGAAATTTTCGCAGCCCGACTCTCGTCGGGGATCCAATGGAAAATCAGATTAGAATCCAGTCAGGGAACGAATTCGAACAAGAGAAGAATTGAAGGATATGAAAGTCCGTCTCGCGGCTGTCCGCGGAAACCGCGAGATGGCGGCACCGTCTACGATCGTATGTCCCGCCTGTCTGTCCCGCACTCTTGCGCAGCAGCGGCGGCGGGACCGACTCGCTGGCTGAGAGCTGCCGCCGCGAACGCCGCCGCCGCCGCTTCCGCAGCCGCTGCGAGCTGTCGTCTCCTTGCCCGCGCTGGCTCTCTGCGCGTTTGCCCGCATTCACTGCTACAGCTGTAGTGGCGGCCACTCCGCGCGCCGCTTCCACGACCACCGCCGAAAGCGACTCTCGAAGCAGTTGTGTCTGCCGACGTGAGTCGGTCTAGAACTCGCCGTCTGATTAAAGCCGACCGACCGGTGCTTGGATAGTTCGATAAGCGGATGCTCGACAAGAAAGAAATCTGAAGAGCTCGGAGAACACCAGAGGGAGTTTGCGCGCCCTCCGATCTACCACAGTAATAGTGGTCGTCTGCTAAGTCGGAGTTCGCCCTCCCCATCTTCCTGGATACTCTACCGTGGTGACAGACAGTGCTCGTGCCAGGCAGCACCACTGAGTCCTCCCTGTGGCCAGGAGGCTATGAGAGTGTGTGTTGGTGCTAATTCGACACCCAGGATTACAGCTCCCGACCCCCCTCCCCTCCCTCGATCAGAACATCCGACTTCCCCGCGAAAACGGTAAGGAAAACCCCGGGATATCTCGCTTGACTAGATTCTCCTTCCTTCTTTCCTTCAATGGTTGCCTCGACGTAAACATCCTTATTCATACCCTTTCGGTGGCTTGAATTGCGATGTTGCTACCATAGAGCGCGAATCCGGACTCGGTTTCTGGAGCTCGAGGTTCAGAATTGAGTTCAGGAGCGGTACCGAGCTTTCGAATTACAGCTCGAGACTTGCGCCGAAATGCCTTACCATCCGAATCGCTGAACTGACCCGAACTCTCCTCTGAAACCGCTCTCTCTCTTCCATGTATTGGGTCAGGAAACCTGCCGAGAACTTCCTCGATCCTTGTCTCCGAAGCCTGCAGTTCTCCGAGACTGTGAGGAAAGTTCTCAAAGCGAATCTTCGGGACGCATCGGCGTCGATTCCGAGGGAAAATTCCCCGAAACCTCGGTGCTGCGTGCGCGGTCCGCTCTCAACGGATCCTCCGATGTTGTGCCTCTTTTGTAATGACCAGCAGCGTTTGTCGGATCCACCCCTCCCTCGCCTTTCTGCAACTCGCGATCTCGAGGAGTCGTCTCATGTTCGCTTCCGCAAGTCTTTTGGAAGTTTTCTGCGCTTGGCTTCCGCCACATCGGTGCCTAGTCGCAACGAATCTCGGATTCGACTGCGCACTTCCAGAGCGAGATTAAGTGATGGCAGGACCGAGGTCGAGATAACATTTGATGGTTCGTTTCGTATTCTTCGAGGTAGCAGAATTCTGTGAGTTCCGAGTTCTGCGCACACGTGCCGAATCCGACAGATTCACTCAAGCATACGCGAGCCGTTCAGAGATGTTTCCTCGCTCAGGAGAATTGCATCATTAAGAGAGGAAGGAAGCGATTCACAAAATAAATCACGATTTCACTCAGTCTCGGTCAATACGGTAGCGAGGGTGGAAGGCACTGGCACGTGTTTCCAGTTGACAGCGAATTTTGGCAAGCTACCGTCGGCGATACCCCGAGCGTCATCAAGCCGGCGCCTTAACCCAGATCTCTGCGTTGGCTTTTCCTCAACTCTATAAGCAAGCATTTCAAATGAGAAGATCTCGAACTAGCGGCGGATCGATTTGTTCGGCTCGGAGTCGGGACGGACAATTGTCGCTTCAGGTTCAAGTTCAGGGTCGGTCGAGTTGGAGCCGACGGAGGCTGATCGGATACAGGCGCGATAAGTTCTACCGAGGCCCGCACTGTGACTGTATGTATGGGCGAATGTTAACCAGTTTCAGGGTAACCTTGCCTCTCTCGCCATTGCTCTCGAAATAGCTTGGCCAGGGTGTCTCTTTGCCTTCCGCATCTCTGAGAATCTACGACTATTTCAACCCTAAAACGCTTGTGAGCTTCACATGAGCAATTTGTCAGAGCTGTCATTTCATATACCGTCTTGATCTTGTCTCGGGAGGTTGAACACCCAGCCCCGAGTCGATGGGGTCGAATTTTTCTCAAAATAATCGTCCGAATCCGATCTCCGGATGTTTCGGCCGCTGGAACGATGGTTCTAATGAGAAGTACAAGGAGGACCCGACGTGGAGTCAATATGAACAGTTAAGACTTATTCAGACACCGCACGATCGAACGAGCTAGTGGAATGCGAAATTTCGAGCCTAACGATGTCCGAGTCATTTGAGGTCTCTCGGCAAGAGTCTGCGTATTTCCGAATGGATCAATTTCTCCAGGAGAGAGTTGAAGTTCGATGGGAAATCGGAAGATGTGCGAGACCGTCTGGAGAAGAAGTCTGCATAAGCGATCACTTTTGGACAAGCCGTCGGCGCTCTTAGTGTGAAACGAGCGAAGGCTCGAGGAGAGAGGTATTTCTCGCGAGAGCGCCAGAGGAATAACGGATATATTACGTCGGTCTCAGGGTACCACCTGATGGTAGAGGATTCTGTTCTTCAGACCTCGCGAGGCCCTTGTGGCCCTCGTCGCCTCCCCATCCGCATCCTGCGCCATTGTATGGCCTGGAGAGGATGGTCGGTGTCGGTTTCTGACTGAGAGCTGATTGAAATCGAATGAATCGGGTGATTGTTGCGCAAAGCGCTTCGTCACTCGTGTTATTTTTTGTGAGAGCATAGAACAATACGTTCGAGTAATTTGCCCGAGCGCGGAACGTCCGTTCTCTGAATGGTAGTTGGCTCGGTTAGTCGACCGACCGACGAAGGAAGGAAGTGAGCGAGGAAGAAAGAAACCAACCGAGCTCCGTAGGCGAAACCCCTTTAGAATTTTTAGTGTGTTATCTTTACTTGACTTCTGCAAGTCGTTACGTTACATAACATCTGTTGCGGTTGCCGCTGCTCTTCGCTGTCGATGTTGCGCCGACCGCTGTCGAAAGGAACGAGAAACCCAGAAAAACGTTCCGAGTCGGTCGGTCGACAGTAATCGGCGTTGTGCTCAGCCTTGAAATTCTGATGGCCTTGCTCGCCTGCCACTATCCTATTACACTAGATATTAACGCACGGCCAACAGCTCGAGTTCACATGCACTCGGAGGCTGGAGTTGAAGAATTTATCGGCTACGCTGAAGTCGAGAGAGAATTTCAAAGCGGAAGCAAATCACAAGCAGAGGAAGTCGCAACAGAGATGTCCATGGAAATCCGCTTCAGATCAGGCTCGACGATTCCGTAAAATGAGAAAAATTACGCAATCGAGCGTGCGCTCGTCATCTGTTCCGGCTCGATTCCGTTAGGGACGGAGGTGCGAGGAATCTCTTGGGCATTCTGTGTACGTGTCGAGTCTCTGTTCATAATGATCGCTAGAAGAGAAATTTACAGTTTCCTGCTGAATGCGGGTTCGCAGTCATATGTCATGGAGTGATAGAACCGTATCCCTTCTTGGAAGAGACGCCCGCCTGCAATTTCCGTCGACCAGTGCAGTTAGCGGGACGTGTTCGTCTGATTCTCAACCTCTGATCGCATTTTAATTGAAGCTGAAACTTCACTATCACCGAACCCACGTCGATTCCTGATTGGCCGGTGCTCCAAGCTCATGCTATTCACGCTGTTGGCCCGATGCCCCCGAAAACTCGATGGAAAAATCGATTCCTCTTCTTTTTCTTGCCGCGCTCGTTCGTCTAAGTTGGTCGCTCGGTCAGTGAGTTTGTCCATCTATCTCTGTGCCGGAGGAGGTTTATTCTGTGCTACGTTTTGTGCCGCGGTGGTTGTCGATGCCGGTTGGCCTTGGTTTGAAGTTCCCTGGTGCAGCAATTGGACGATGGTCGGTGCCAACACTTCCAGGCCTAGGACATCAACGACGGCAGCGGCGGCCGCGCGGACGAA